TGGCAACCCCTGTCTGTCTATCTCATTGGAGAATGACTGGCCACTGGCGTTGTATTACCTGTTGGCTCTTGTGTCCGTCGCACCCGGGTGAACTGGAGAGACCAAATCCCCAAAGTGCCTCGTCGCCTTTTTGCCTTTTCTTCATTGCCCGTCGTGGCATTTTGAAAACGGTTCACCAGGTTGAAAGACACGGTAAGTTGCCTGAGGCTAGGAGTTCGTGACGACTTAGGTGGGGGGGGGGGCAAATGGCATTAAGTCAGTGATGTAGCTGTAGTCGAGACTACAACGTACCTCCACTTCACGGCCGTCCCCCAGCGAGGATCTTTGGCTCCTCTCTCTGATGGCGAGACCAGGCGCCGGGCAGCTTCGATGTCGCTTGGAATGGGCAATCGTCACCGAGTCTCCATATCGGCCGTGGTGCAGCCTCTCCATCCTTAGTCCTTGCCTAGAGCCATGAGAACGGTAGGCTCAAGTGTCGATACAGTGCTGATCGCTGCCATTCGTAAAGCAGGGTGGGTACAAATCGCCAACGGACTCAGAAGGTCAAGGTTAAACCGTTAGCTGTCACACGTGGAACACGTTTTTGGTCAGTTCGTGTGCTAGAGCATGGTAGCAAACAGGATCGACATCATGTGGGTGGGTGGCTTTTAGAAGTTTGTGCCTATGGACGTGTCGAGGCCGATGGAGAAGCAGCAGCAGCAGTAGAGGCATTTAGCATATTGACTAACCCCGAGGCAGAAATGTTACATACGACAAGATTGGCTGCACCGTATACACCTCCGTCCTCGCCAAGGGGATTCCTGCTGAGGCTTCAACTATAGTAAATAAAATTTCGGAGAACGTGACTTCTCCAGCCGAGAAAGGAAGCGGACTTATCGGACGCGATTCGGCTGAAAGGCGGATTCCAGTAAGCGGACGCGGAGACGAGATCAGGGAGGGATGGGTGGACAGTAACTTGGTGAGATGAAAGTCCGGATCAGGTTGGAAAATAATGCAGGATGATGCAAGCCGTCGAGTTTCCAACGCTCCAATCGGAAAAGATCCTCAGCTCAGGCCACGTAGAACGACAGTATCGCTGGATACCGTAACTATGTTTTTCAAAAGTCCCAACTCTTGGAAAGGCTGGCGGGTTGCTCTTCGGGTTGGTTGAATGTGTCGGTTGCGGAGAGGGCTAATCCACAACTGACAGATGCCAATGACACGCCCAAACTTTAGGCATTGTGCTTCCGGCCAAGTACAAACTAGCAAGCGGTGGGCTTTTCGAGCGGAGTGACCAGGGAATGGTTGAAGAAAGGACTGTATGAAAGGAAACGTGTGACGCTGTGTCTCTGGAAGATGTAATAATTGATCCTGTTCCTGACACCCAAGCTCCAATGCCCTGCCGACCGGTTGTACTCAAATCACGACGATCCTAACAAGGTCCACCATTTTCGTCACTGTAGTTTGTGCCAAGACGAAGTCCATGATACGCTCAAAAGAGCAGCCAGGAACCGCAGCGGGGTTCAAGGGCATTGCAAGCTGATTGATCGGAAAGTTGCTTGAGCTTTGCTGGAGGGAGCCTGATTCATATCAGTGAGGTCCAGAGCGCTCTACGCATGAGAGATAGTACCGATCAGAGGGATTGGAAAAGCGAACCCGGCGTGCTAGTTTCGTGACCGAGGGACCACTTTATCTTGTCTTCTTGACTGAACTCTTTGCTTGATGACTGTGTTCTTGCATCGTGGGCATTTCCTTTCGCCACATTGCGGACACGCGACGGTGTGGTGGGCGCTTGGGTTTTTCACGCCACACTGGCAACACTGCCAGGCGTTGGAAGTGACGTACTCGGGGTTGTTGGCGTTATTCCCGTTGCCGCTCATTTTGAGGTAAAGCTGTGGACTGATAATACAAACAAGAAGTGAAGAGGGAAAATCCGAGATTCTCTGGTTGACAGAAGGGCTGATAACGTGAAGGAAGCTTCCTCCATTTATAGCTGGGCTCTGCTTCAAGGGTCCATCTTGCAGAAAGCAAGCCCCTATTGCCAAATACTTCAAGTTTCAATGAAGGTGCCCAATCACAGCCACAACCAGGCAAACTCTCGTCTTTGCGAAAGACGTCAAACTTTGTGAGTAATGGTGCATTCGTAGAGGAGTAATGATGCCGGGCATTGACGAAGATCCGCGGAAGGAGTCAGAGCTGTGGGATTCGAATGATCATGGCAGACTGCCAGAGATACGAAAAGATTGGTGCGACGGCTCGAAGGCGCCCAGAAGAGTACAAAAGGACGGCAGGGAAATTTGCATAAGGAGATAGGCATACTCGTAGTCCCATCGCCATTTGCTCGATGAAGTGGACCCAGGTAGGCTCTGGCTGAGGGTTTGACCAGTTGTGTTGAGCATCGAGCCAAAAAATCTCATCATCCGGCAGAAATATCGACGCCATGACAATTGCGTGTTTTTCGTCTTCTCTCCAGAAGAGGCTGTGACATATTGGCCGCCTAGAAGCCCTCAAACAGGAGGAGCTAGAACATCAGACAGGCTTCGTGACCAGCCAGCGAGCAATAGTTGTTTTTTCCCAGGCAGTGGAAATTCGCCCAATACGACGCTACGATTGGCTGCCTATCCAGCCCACCACAAGGCGAAACTCCCTGAAAGGGAGAAAAACCTCACATGTCAGGGGGGAAGACCAAAGGCTAGGCCTCAACTACTGGGGCAGCCTGGTTCAACCGTTGTCAGCTCCGAAGCGGCTGAAATTGATCTGCTAGAAGTATAGTAGAATCATTCGTGTTGATATCCGCCCCATGTGGAGTCACACAAGATCCCAACTTTCATCTTGCTCCTAGATCGATCCATGTTGTCGGTAGCTGAATCCGAATTGACGCAGTTTTGCATCTGAGTGCCACGTCGGAGACACGGGCGTGAGTAAATCTGAGTCCTTCAGACAAATTCACCATATCGAGTCAGAGAAGAGGGTAGGTGGATCGCTACGGCAGTGGATGGGGTGGTCCTGGCAGTATGTCGGGATTTGGCCGGCACCCAGTCAACGAGTCTACTGACTCATGCGTGACCATCTGGGACTGCACAGTGATTTGGCTCAGATCGATCACGGCCAGTTCGGCGTGGTACACAAAAACACCCGGTTATTGCGGGATGTCTAGAACTGAGTTGACGTTGGGAAAGGCTTGAAAGTCCTGCCTGGCAGCCTGCTGTGACGCAGGCAGCGCTGATCACTAGCGTCTTGGCGTAAGGCTCGGCTGGCAAGGCTGGCCAATCACAGATGCGGTCAGAGAATTTGCTCGATGTGTCTCATCGGGCTCCCCGCCACCTTTCCCTCCTCGAAGCATCAATTATGCGGCCAATACACCTGTGTGCGAGGCGCTTGAGCGGTGTGTTGTCCCTAATTAGACTTTACACCGCTGTGAAAGGGCCGTTGTGCTCCTTCCATTCAACGTTCTTTCACCAAACCCCACTTTTCAACCTGAAAACGCCAAAGGGGCTCAGCCTTGCACAAAACACATCAAGTGGTTGACTCGTGACTTTCTACGGTTCGCACTGTTCGCACTGTTCGCCTTTGGGGCAAATGGGCTTAGCAGGGGCGCAGTAGTCCCAAGTCAGCCCTAGTAACCTTGATGTCTATCGTTGGATCTAGATACACCATTTCGCAGAGTACGTCAACTCTGCTCTGTAAGGCATACAACTGAGGTCACGGGGCACAGCTTCTTCAAGAGAAGTCTCCGAAAGTCTCCCGATTTATAACCAGAGATTGGAGAACAGGGGAACATCGGGTGTCCGGAATTCTCGCACTGCTGCATTTGCTAACGCAGGCACGCATCTACAGTAGAGATGTGCGAGACACTAGAACCTGAAGCATCTAGCCAGCCGCCGAGAAGCTTGACCTCTTGTGGTCCTTCCTGCATAAACCAAAGCATTCATAAAGCAGACAATTTTCCGTACCACGACTCTTCCGCATATCTTGGCTCTGACAAGTGATTTGGTACCGAGACCATTGTCCCTCTTGCTCGAACGCTCAACCTCTTGGGATCTCATGCGGTCGTGGTTTCAATGCGGCACCTGGCACAGCGCCGCTTCTGACAATTGGCGCAATCCGAATTGATCTTGACAGTCATAGGCCCATGACCACACTCGCAGCAGTACCAGACGTATACGACAGCGTCGGCCAGCGTCGAATATATGAGAGGAGTTCCGTGGCAAGTTGCGTATGAGAAGGTTCGTGGAGCATGCTCAAGTTGGCCGGTATCTTTTTCTAGTGACCACAGTGATGCTGTGAATCCCATTTGCTGCTGAGCTTTTGGCAGGGACGGCGCACGCTTGAACATTTCAAAGCTAGACTCTCATTTCAGTGATGTGCAGGCTTCATACTTTGGTCACTTACCACATATTGACCTGTATTAATCTGATGGAATAGTCGTGGCTGTTATCTTCGTAGCAAGAATGATGAGAACGATGAAGAAGCCTGGTTGCAGCGGTAGACTTCTCCTTATCACCACCGTCCCTTCAACATTCAGGCATTTACTTTGCTGGGTTTCCAAGGACTTGCCCAATTGAAGGCTGTGTGATCGCCCCGTCGTAGGTGAAGATATGGATAGACAGACTTCATCTCGAAGCTGCGCACGAGTTATTCGCTGAAACGAAGCTCTCGCAGCTCACAGAATTGATGGGAGGGGCGTGGCGCAGGTTTGCAGGTTCTGAGACGGCAAAAAGTGCTGAAATGGAACGAATGAGAGGCGAGAGAACCTAGTGTACAGGACTCAGCCCAAAGTTTGGGAAGCCCATTGGTCTTTTCATGACGGCCTATGTAGGAATGACTGGAACTAGGGTTCCACTCGAACAGCCAGATTCCCTAGTCAGTCCCCAAGGGCAGGAAATCTCGGAGCGGAGAATTTCCAGCAACCATATTGCCCTGCTTGTCAAACTGGAGCGGGCATGCATGAGCTCGATAGCACGGGAGTTCAAAGCCCAATCACTTGCATCACAGGGCCCCAAGCGCGTAGGATGCAGAACTTAGAAGCGGATCCAAAGTTTCGAGTTTTGTTGCAGTCTTGACGCCTTCTTCGAGGCAACCATGAGAGGGGCTTCAAAAGTTGCAACATTCGCCTGAATGGTAGCATAGCCATCACACCACCCGCCACGAGCACCTACCTGGTGAAACCCCCCAAAACTTATGTTCTCAAAGTTGTGAATTCCCATCTCGATCATCAGATCGCAAGGCCACTTTCTAGCACGACTGCTCAGCGTTGTCCATTGGTCGGTCATAGGAAGGCCAATGCGTTCACAGCTTGAGGCGGGAAATTGGAGCAGGTTGTTGAAAGAGCTGACACTTCCGCGCCCTAGCATCGAGCTGTCGTGTGTGTTCTTGAGGTTTATAGAGGCTAGGGGCATGATCGAATCATGAAGCCCTGGTTGTGGCTCAGCTCTCACCATTGAGCCCACAGACTGTTGTGGAACAACAGTCTTTCGAGCCTGCGATGCAGCAGCTTCGATTCTAACACCATTTCTCGGGCCAAAATGGCATTTTTAAGTTCCGCAGCCGCTTTGAGGATCGAGACCAGGCATTTCAGATGTGTTGTAACTCAAAACCTGTGAACATGAAACATATTCTGGCGCATTGTCAGGCAACACCATTAGCCTCACGAATCAGCCGTCGAGGCGGATTCATGATCACGCTCCGAGTTCTTCACAGGTGAGAGAAACCTGCCGGGTTTATACTGGGCTTAGCATCTGCCTTCGGACTGGAGGGCATTCAACCAGAGAATACCAGATTCAGAACCAGATTTTACCATAGTCGGAAATAATAGCTTGTAGTTCTCACAGTAACAGGGCTCCTGCCGCCGATTTGGGCCCGACTAAGTCAATTGGTAAGCGGCGAGAGGTAGGGCACTGCAAAATACTTGTCCACGCTGCTCCGGCGCCTCCAGCCCTTGAAACCCGCATCCTTCGTATTGTAGAGATCCTGCCATACTCTTAAGTCTTCTTCTGTGTAATTGCGAACCTCGAAAGTCGAGTCAAAGTGATCTTCGGCTGATATGTAGCATGCTTAAGGACGGGACATTGATGTATATCCTGCGTCCATATCCGTGCTGCCTTCGCAGGCACGCACTCCTTTCAATATGCGGAAACGGTGTTGCCTAAGGCGATCTCTCGTGAGTCAGCGTCACTTCCTTAGAAAATAGATATCAGTTTGCGCGGAGAGGGATTGACGTCTGCAGATTGACGGCTAAAGCGTAGAACAATTCTGCATGCTCTCAATGTGGGAAGGGTTCCCGTTCGGGTTTAAAGGGTGAGCTAGAGGTATCCAATGAGCCAACAGGAACAAAAGATAGCTGGTCCTCAAATACGACGGCGAGGAGGTAAGTGCAAATTCAGGTAGCGATTCAAGGGGGATGAAGGGGAGTCTGAATGAAACCTGAATGTCGCTGACTAAGAAAGTGGTAGCAAAAAGGGGTTGAAGCCTGCAGGCTGCGGCTTGACTGCGTTGAGCGTCACTCTCTCCTGGCCCCCACTAGTGTCTACCAACAAGCAGTAGGATCATCAGAAGGTAGACGGCGAGACGGCCTGCAACCCAATCTCTCGCTTCCGTCGATCCAACCCCCAATCTCCATCCACTGGAGGCACGAAGACTTCATCTGACCTATCACGGCTTCCCACGAAACATTATCAACTCTGTTCGAGATGTCTGGCAAAGACGGTACTAGCGGAGAAACCGGCTCCTCCGTCCCCTCCGGGAGTTTATACTACCCGTACTAAATCATCAAGTCTGGCGTCAACAAAGTAGTATGGTCATTTCTGAGATTTCTCAACCTCCTTTTCGGCTAATTGAATTGGTTCAGGGGAATGGATGGGACACCCGCATTCAGCCTGGAGGCTTTGCCTCCCACTACTCCAATGCTGGTAAGTGCCCTTTTGTCCATGTCCAAGCCGTACTGATGCTTGCTATTGCAGATGGCTCCTACTACTACTCCAATGCCGACGGCACTACCTACTATAACAATGGTTACGGAGGCTCGATCTACACAGCTCCCAGTGGCTACGTCTACAAGAAGTGAAGGAGAGTGGAAAACACCAAAGAACTGGGTGCTTGACGTGGAAAAAGACTTCTCTAGCAAATCACATGTGTTACATTAGCAGCACATACGGAGTATTGTGTGGAAGCTTCCGGGTCCTAGATGAAGAACCACATGGTATAGGTAACGATCTCGATCGACCAATCACGGCAGTATCAATGAAACCATAGAGGATGATACACGCCAGACAAGGCTGGCCAGACGTCAGGGGCGAACCATCAAAGGCACTGAACGTGCATCGACTATCTCACTAGTCATGGGTATTCCCGCCCTATTCACTTGAAACAGGTCTACTGCTTGTATGCGAGTATGGTGGGAGCTATCCGCAGGGAGCGTCTTAGACATTGGAGATTTATGTTGTAGCACCTTCGGGTGCCATCTGTACAACAGGCCAACGGGTTATGACAGCTTCACTGTGATGTGCGTCAGAGTAGCAGACGTATTCTGGACTCAACATCACCAGAACGGTGGGGGGTTGGTATTGGTGGGGGACCAGATCAAACATGAAACAACCCAAGTTCCGGGACAATACAGATATTGGGACAAACGTGGTGCTGCCTACTAGAGTCCTTGCCTGGCGTCATGACCACGTTTGAACCATGTAAGCATACCCCTTTAGAGATTTGGACAGCTAGGCTGAGGACCATGCCCTTTACCACGTCTACGAAAGACCGTAGATTGTCTCTTCGCTAAACGCCTCGGTCGGGGAGGGCAATTGTGACTGGGGCTCTCAGACAAACAATGAGCATTCAAACGACTACGTAGGCAAACTCTGGGACGGGACAGCGAAAAGAGTAGAGCACGAGAGGAGAAGGTACAGAGAATCACAAAACTGGACTGCGCAGCTACTCTTTGGGCGCTATGCGCCAACCGAAATTTTCCAACCTGCGTGCCTACGTTTTCCAATGCGCTGACCTTCCCCAGGGCGGTTGATGACCATCACTGTTGTTTGTTGAGATAATTCTGTCTTTTGTATGGGTTTGCGCCAGCTCTGGAGGCCCCGTCTCTCCCTCGAGAGCTTTCAGTCGCCATGCAGGCAATGGTCAAGCTGTCAACTCCGACTTTCAGGGCACAGCAAGTGGGCAAAGATCAAACATGACAAGGGCAAGGCGGATGTCGCGAAGAGCAGGGTCCGCACCCACCTATCTGCGGATATTATAATGGCCTCGAAGCGTAAGGGACGAACGGGTTAAGTTCATGGAGTACAGACACTAACTACAATACAGTGGGCGGGCCCGATCCCACCATGAACTCCAGACTGGCTCATGCGATCGCCGTGGCGAAGAAAGGCCAGCTCTCGAAGACTGCCATCGAACATGCCATCGCAAAAGGACAGGGAATATCTCCGAGCGGCCAAGCTCTTGACAATGTGACCATCGAGGCCATGCTCCCTCACGGCGTCGCTGCCATGATCGAGTGCCAGACAGACAACAAGGCGAGGACTTTGACTAGTATCCGGAATATCATCACCAAAGCCGGCGGCACAGTAACCCCCACGGCATTTATGTTCGAGAAGAAGGGCCGCATTTCGTTTGAAGAGCAGGAAAAGATCGGTGTTGAAGACGCCCTGGAAGATGCGATCGAGGCGGGAGCCCTTGACATTGCAGCGGAAGAGAACAGATTGGTTGTCGAGACAGAACCGGCCGATGTCATGGCTGTTGCTCAGAAGCTCCAAAGCAAGCTGGGAATCCAAGTGGAAAAGGCAGAGGTGGTCTACATGCCGAACGAGGATTCAAGGGTTTCGCTATCCACACAGCAGGAGGAAGAGGTGCAGGCTATTCTAGACTCGTTAGAGGAAGACCCAAGTCTTCAGAATCTGTATATTAATGCTGAGCCTGCGTGAAAGGCTAGCCTATCAATTCAGAAAACAATTGTCCATGCTCAGAATGAGGAGGCACTGTAGCCGGCACTCCGAAGACGGCTGCGCCCTGCAAACTGCGGCAAGATGCAACTCCGGCGAAGCACTCGTATAGCCAGCGCAGTCTCTCAAGCGTGGCCTCAACTGTTGTTGAAATTTGGTCAAGAACATCCAATACATAGTTGTCTATTATATGCCATAGCCTTTCGACGCCGTTGGGATTGCTGACTCCTGGTCCCTGAGCCTTCCTATTCTGTCCCTGGCATTGTCCGATAGGTGTGTTTGTTTGCCTCTATCAAGACCACATTCCGCACCCGGTCCAACCACCGACATGGATCCCACGACGACAATTCTCAACTGGCAGAATGCCTTCGAGAACCATCGCATCCCACAAACCCGGGTGATTGAAAAGCAATTGCGAGCCAGTGCCGCACAGAATAAAGATAAGCTGCGTGCTCTTGTCGGGTAGGCTGTCTCTCCTTGCCTCCGCCCTGAACGTGCCAACTTCGCGATACTGACTCTCTACTTGGAAAACCAGTGGCAGTTATCGCGAGCTTTTGGCAACAGCCGAAGCCATTGTCGTCTTAGACGGACAGACAAGGGCTGCAGAGGACAAACTCTTGTCGATCAGTCACAATTGTAGACCACCTCCGCAAAATGCCATTCCCCGACCTCCGCCCGCAGACAAAGTTGCGCTGGCTCAGTTTCGCCTTTTACAACGGTGCTGCATGTCTGTGGCTTCATGCCTTCGGAATCAACATATCTTGCTGTGTGCGCAGCTCATTGTTGTCTCGAGGTTGTTGCTGAAATCACTGGGTGACCAGGACTTACTAACTGGGAGCCTCGATTCACTACGGAACAAACTTGGTGCACTTCGGAGGCAACTGCTTCTGCGAATTGAAGCTAGGTTGATTAGACCTATGTCAACGTTGTCTGATCTTCTCGAGTCCATTTGCGCTTACTGCCTAGTCACCAGCAGCTCTTCGGAGGATGCCTTGGGTCATTTGCGCCAGCTGAGGCTTGAGAAGATCCGACGTCAATTGGCGGCCTCTCGCCAGAAGTCCACCTTTTGTCAAGCCTTGCGATACCAAATATTATCCTTGCAGACCTTCAAGTCTTTGACAGGACGCCCCATAGTCGATTCTATCAGTAATCTGCAGAAGAGACCGATCTTGGAGGATCCGTCCATCAGAGACCTGGAGTCTCTAGGCCTTGACCAGATTATCTCATTGATTCCACAGGAGATACGGTCATTCGTTCCCTACTTCAAGAGAAGTGCACCCACATTCGAGGAAACCCAGGCTAAGCTGGAGACATGGTCCCGAGAAAGCTTAAAGACATTCTCTGATGCGTTGCACCAATATCTTCCGGCGACGGACTCGATAGCAGAGGTACTGCAGTTGCGGCACGAGCTGTATACTATTCTTCTTCCTTTCTACTTTTCGACTCCGGCGGGGCCAGACATCAAGGATCAGATTGCGCAAGCTCTGAACAGAAGAGTGAACGACATTTGCCACGATAAATGTGCTCGCCTGGCTCATATCACGACGCTGCTCCTCGACAATCCGGCTAGCACAACCACAAAGTCATTATGGGATCCAGAGCTCGCACTATTGAATCTAGAGGCTGGGGGAAATAAGCTCACTACACGCATCCGAAAGCGACACGAAGGCCATAATGTGGCATTATCTAGGGCTTCAAAATCATTGAATACGTGGATCACAACCACAAACAGTGCGTTTGGTCAATTAAATGACATTTCAAGGATAAGATGGAGAGATGTTGTTGAAGAGCCAGAGGAGGAGAATGAAGACGAAGCCTCTGGTTTGATCAAAGATCTGTGCGAAACGGATTCAAGTCTATACCGCGACAGTCTGCAAAATGCGTTAGAGACGGCGTTGCTCGAATACGAAGCAAAAATCACACAGACAGCAGCCCAGGTGGTAGATGAGCCAGAATCTGTCTCCCAAATTGTGGCATTGCTACGGGCCATCAGATTTTCGATGATGTCCTTGCAGCATACTTTTCCCGAGCAAGCCAGATTCGAGAAGCTCCCTAAGATTGTCCGGCAGCTGCATCAGCTCGTGGCGACAGAGGTCAGCCTTCAATTATCTGCGTCAAGAGAAGGCAGGAAGAAGACGAAGAGATGGAACAAGGACATGTTGCTTGACAATATGCCTTCACCCTGTGCATTCTCAACTCTACGACAACTTTGTGGGATAATGCTGGATATTGGTGGCACCGATTTATGGTCTTTTCCAGTGGTTGAACTGGTCAAGGAAGCTGTTAGATCTCATATCTTCAGTCCTGAGCGCAAGGCCTGGTACATGGAGAACGAGTTTGACGAACTGTATCTCAGTATTGCACTGGGACGAGATACATCAGCTATGGCCAGGGATAAAGCCCATATAAAGTCTGCGTCTGAGTACTGGACAAGGACGAAGTTGTTGTTCGGAGTGCTTGCCTAGGATATGCATTCAGGCACGGCACAGCATATCATGGACCACCACCTCATAAAAGAGGAGCGGGATCATGAAGTATTTTAGATGAGATGGGATAATAGAAACGACGTATGTCAACGGAAAGCGATGTATGTACAGGCCCAATTACGCCGCTAAGATGTATATGTCGGTACATGTAAAGACCACACCTACATTTCTTACTGTCTATTGTCATTCCCATATCCATTCTAATACATTGATGCGGGAAAAGGTGCATCGGTGAGGCTCTAGAAGGTCGTGATCTCAGCCTCGTAAGCCTGATGCCGGATGCCGGAAGAACTTTTGATCCGCAGCAGCCCCGGCCCCCCTATTCAACGCCTTCGTCTCACATTCACCATCCCTCTTTTCAATCCTGTCATTCCACGTTGGCGGCACCGTATTCTCGTGGCTTGTGTCAATGCACACCTGCGAAATGTATGCAGAAACCAATGAGGAGCCGTGAAAATGATGGTCACGCGGAGTGCCTCACGATAGGCCGTTATCATCTGCACGGCGAACCTCCTGCGTGGAGATATCAATTTCAGCACATCGTTCAAGCCCTTCGCTGATTGCTGGGCCATACGTCCAGACGAGATCTTTGCCATAAATCTAGGACACCGAAGAATGAATTAGCACTGCCTGACCAGCAGGTCTAGCGGGGCCTAATCTGTGTCTCTTCGCCTCCGCCGTATGTCAAGGCGTGGCATTCCATCTTGGGCAGAGGCGCGCTGCTGCGGCTACATCGACGACCTTCGGGACTGATCAGTCTTCTCTCCAAAGATGCGCGAGGTTGAACTCGAAGACATCACGGGATCGTCGATCCCGCTGCGGCGCTCTTCCCATCAATTCGACGATTCTGCGGAGCTACATTCAGATGACGGACTTCGGAGGACAAGCATCTCCGAGATGCTGGATGTCCCAGGCAAGTCAAGACATTCTGGCGGGATTGAGTTGCCATTGTTCTAACAGGATCACGTAACAGAAGACAAGCCTCTCATGTCTCCAGACTCGTCTGACGAGGATGCTCTACATCCCACTGCGGCGGACCTGGAGACTCTTCCCCGTGTCGCCGATAAAATCCCTTGGCGGGTCTACACGGTCGCCTTCGTGGAACTGTGCGAACGATTTTCCTACTACGGCACTCAAATTCTTTTCCAGAACTTCGTTCAGCGAAGACTGCTCACGCCGACCGGTCGAGCCCCGAATCCGGGCGGGGATACAGACAACAACCCCGGGGCACTAGGCCAGGGCCAGCAGATGGCTACTGGCTTAGGTACTTTCTTTTCCTTTTGGTGTTACGTGACGCCGCTGCTGGGAGCGTGGCTGGCGGACACCTACCTTGGAAGGTAATGCTAATCCCCGACCGGGCCATGGGCTTATCGGAAGTCAACAATTTCTGACGAGGTCTTTCGCAGATATAAGACGATCATGGTGTCGATCGGCATTGCCGTTGTCGGCCACGTCCTCCTAACCATCAGCGCGCTGCCTCCTGTCCTAGCACGCACCGAAACTGCTCTCATTTCATTTATTATAGCCCTTGTCGTCTTCGGTCTCGGGACAGGGGGCTTCAAACCGAACATCTCCCCTCTGATCGCCGAGCAAATTGTGTCAGAGAACCTCCGTGTCTCGATCGATCCGAAGACCGGCGAGCGTGTAATTATCGACCCAGCCCAGACGTCGGCGAGGATCTACAACTGGTTCTACCTCTTTATCAACATTGGCGCCTTGATCGGCCAGATTTCCATGTCTTACGCGGCGTTGTACGTCGGGTACTACCTCGCTTTCCTGCTGCCGACGCTCATGTTCCTCCTCTGCCCCCTCATCCTCATTCTGAATAAGAAGAGATACCGCCTCACTCCTCCGCAAGGCTCGGTACTGGGCCCCACAGTCAAGACGCTCCTCTACGCCGTCCGGCCCCATTGGTCGTGGAACCCTCTTCGCACGATTCGCAATGTCCGCCGGACTCCCACGTTCTGGACCGCCGTGCAACCATCCCGCGTGCCTTCCCACAAGCGCCCATCATGGATGACATTCGACGACGCCTGGGTCTCGGAACTCCGCAGGGGCGTAAAAGCCTGTTCCGTCCTCCTCTGGTTCCCGCTGTACTGGCTCACTTACAACCAGATGAACAACAACCTGACCTCCCAAGCGGACACGATGAGGCACGCCGGGGTTCCGCCCGAGATTGTCTCGAACCTCGATCCTCTGACGTTGATCATCCTCATCCCGATCTGCGACCTGGTCATCTACCCGAGCCTGCGCAAACGTGGCGTGAAGCTGACCCCGATCAGGAAAATCACCTTGGGATTCTGGTTTGGCGGCGCGGCCATGGTGTACGCGGCTCTCCTGCAGAGGTACATTTACACGCACAACGAGTGTGGCTATTATCCTTCCGAGGGGCAAAGAGAAGACCCCAGTAATGGAGGCAGTAACAGTGCGAGCGCCAATCTCAGAGACTGTCCCCCAGCGTCCATTTCAATCGCCTACCAAGCCCCGATCTACCTCCTCGTCGCCATCAGCGAGATCCTCGCCTCCATCACCTCGATCGAGTACGCTTTCACAAAGGCCCCGCGCAACATGCGCTCCATGGTCCAGGCCTTTTCGCTCTGCATGAGCGCCGTGGCCAACGTCATCGGCGAGGCCTTCCTCTGGCTCGCCCGCGACCCGTACCTGGTCTGGAACTTTGGCGTCATGGGCGCCGTCGCGTTCGTCGCGGGCAGCCTCTTCTGGTGGTTCAACAGGGACCTGGACGCCGAGGAGGACGCCATGAACCAGTTGCCTCACGGGAGCATGGGACGTGGCAGCAATAGCGCACCAAGAGAGCATCAGCATCAGCATCGGCGAATAACCCACCCCGAAAGCAGCGGCTCCAGTCGCGGCGTGGACGCGAGTTGGAGTGACCTGGGCCGAACTTCCAACGAGTCCCACGAGTCCCGTGAGAGTCTACTAGACGATAAAAGGCTTCGTTGAGTAGAGTTGATCTGTGTGAGAGGAGGAATCTAGAAGAAGAAGACGGAGCGAGCCCGGCACAGACTCACAGGCGAGCTGGAATTTCAGGCCCATTGCGTCTGCGTCCTCCCAGCAAGGCATGTTTTGTGTTAGATTAGACATGTAGAAAGTTCATCTCGTCAACGGTATGGGATTCTCACGACACTTCAAATGTTGCTTTGCTCAAAGGGCTCGAGAAGTCTGAGCAAGCCCGACTTTTGGGGTTCTGGTTGAAGGGTCTCCTGAACACGAAGGGGACATCCCATTTATGTTATGTCTGTTTGACGATTTATCGTGGATAACGGTGGGTGTGGTGGCGTCTTCGACAATCCATGATTTTGTCTGTATTTCAGTCCATCTAGTAAGAAATCCTCATGTCTTGGAAATCTGGAGTTGAATTCCTTAAACATTCGATCGGTCTGGTGATACTACAATCACCAACTCAGATTCCTAGCAGTCCGCTATCCGCCAACATTTGGGTTTCAAGAGATCTCTCTTGACATAGTTCTTCCTATCAGTGTCTCTTCCGCTTCTGTACATTGGCCTGCATGTCCAGGTATTTTGTTGAAACTTTTCTTCCGATCTTCTTACAGGGTTTCTTTTATGAACCAACGTATCTCGGTCAACGCGTCCATGATCCGGTCCAGTCGCCAGCCATGAGCAAGATATACCCTTATTCACACGCGAGCGCAGTTCGTTTTTGTCCACGGTATTGTTGTTCGTCCAACGTCAGTGATGAACCCCTAAAACTCACCGAAAGCGGAAAGGGCAAACATAAGTCCGAAACTGATTTTAAAGGCCAGATTATCATTGACTGCACTGCGCAGGTCAATGTTTTTGAAGTAGCGCTGTAAGCGCTCCACTGGTATGATATTATATCCTCTTCGTGCGGCAAGTTGCCAAACGACAATGCCCAGTCCGATCAGTAATGTCAAGCTTGTGGAAAAAGCCGACACCACCAGTCCTGCGGCCAGTCCTAGTATGGAACCCAAACTTATTTGCTTGACAGCAGCGGGGTTGATTGTCTTTCCATCTTTTGTGAGGGGAACCTTGGGTCCGCGGGAATTTGAGGAGGTGCTGCTAAACTCAGCGGTACCCGCGGGAGGTGGTGAATGGGGTGAAGAGTCGAGCCTAATGATGGACGAAGATTGGATGAAAGGCAGGGAGGCCGTGAGTCCGAATGCAACAAGAACAGGTCGCTTGAGAGCAGGCCGTGCCAGAGGAGCAGATATCGATTTCAAGGCCGAAGGAAAGGAGAGGGAGGGTCGTATTACGGTTCGCAGCAGCATCGTGCTTGGTTGAGTCCAAACTGAGGATCTCGACAACGGAAAAGGGGAACAAGGCCCTGAAGGGTAGGAGGAGATGCTGATTACTTGGGGCAAAGACGTGTAAGCAGAGGGTAAATGTAACTGCTAAGATGTGGGAACGAGCTGAACAGCCAACAGACGAAATCGATGTGCGGAGAGTTGAGGATGGAAGTGAGTGAGGAGTGACTTGGAGTGAGTAAGAAGCCGTGGAAGCGTACCCAGCACCCTAGGAAGTACATGATGTCATTGGCCGCAGGTACGGGAGACTTGCGGTTGGGTACCTCGTACAGAGTCACGAGCCACCAAAGAAGAGGCACCAAAGCTGCCTGCGCCCGCCACCATCACCCCCAACTCACCAAGTTCCGTGGTATCCTCATGTCACTCATCAGTCACATCTCCCGGCCTGATTACGGGAGTCTTTACAAGCACCGGGAGGTCTAGTTTGCTTGGGGCAATTTCTTCGTCCAACCATGCACACGCTCGCCTTTTCCCGAGCCAGCGACTGAATCCCCATACCGGCTGCCGGAGTCTAGAGCCATGGATCCTTCGGGGTCCCAGTCCCTCGACATGTTCCGAAGGCACGAATGCCAGCAAACTCTTTGCCGAACCTTTGGGGGGAGTGGACCGACATCATGTTGACTTCTTACGGCATCCCAGTTCGTTACCCATCCCGCAGGGTCAGATGGGTGGAGTCTGGGGAAAGGGGGTATTTCCGGAATCCTGACTATATATGGTGAAGACACGACATTGAGGGAGGTCACATATCCTTCATCACACTGAGTCTTCTCATCTTATCAGTGGACTTAAAGCCAGCCCTCAGACTCAGACACAGACACAGACACGAAGATGTCAGGCTCAGTGACTACCAACGGCATGCCCGAGATCACTTCGAAAGTGGTGGAAACACCACTCCTCATCGTTGGTGCGGGGCCAGCCGGTGGCTCATTGGCGTGCTTCCTTTCCCATCCGCCCTTTTCAATGACTGGTATTATGATTGCTGCCGCAGCGACAACCTCACAGACACCGAGGGCGCACATTACGAATCCAGCCGCTTTCGAATGTCTCCGGGATATCGACCTAGAACAAACTTGCCTATCCCAAGCAGTGGAGGGCGACTGTATGGTTCACACCCGCTGGTGTCATGATATGACTGGTGAAGAGTATGCTCGAATTTATTCGTGGGGCAATGACCCGAAAAGACGTGGAGAATACGAAGCAGCCACTCCTTGCCATCACGTCGACTTGCCTCAAACGATTTTTGAGCCTATTTTGGTTCAGCGAGCATCGGCTCAAGGCTGGGATGTCAGATTTCGGACCAGCTTCGTCAGTTATGAGAAAGAACAAGACGGAAAAATCCGGAGTCGAGTACGAGATGACTTGACTGGTGCCGAATACTATATCCGCTCTCAGTATCTGTTTGGGTGTGATGGAGCACGGAGCCAAGTCCTGCGAGAGGCCAAGATCCCGTTGATCAGAAAGCCAGGCCAAGGATTGGCTTTGAATGTCTTGGTCAAAGTGGATCTTAGTGATTACGTTGAGGCCAGGAAGGGAAACCTACACTGGGTATTTCAACCCGAAAAAGAGTACCCAGACTTCGCTTGGAGCGGGTTGATCAGGATGGTCAAACCCTGGAATGAGTAAGCAAGTCCCTCATTTCTTGCGTCGTACAGCAGCTACTAACCAAGGCTCCCAGATGGATGTTCATTCTCTTCCCCAAACCTGGGACAGAGTGGAAAGAGCCAACTCGGGAGCAATACCTCCAAAGATGCAAAGATATCGTTGGCCGAGATGACATTCCCTTGGAAATCCTTGATATCTCCAAATGGAACATTAATGAGATCGTGGCAGAGTACTACTCCGAAGGAAACATCTTCTGCCTCGGAGACGCCGTGCACAGGCACCCTCCCTTCAACGGTCTAGGCTCCAACACCTGCGTGCAGGATGCTTTCAATTTGGCATGGAAGATTAAATACGTCACCCAGGGCCTTGCGTCTCCCTCTATTCTCGAGACATTTAGTCACGAACGGCAACCCGTTGGCTTGGGTGTAATTACCCGAGCGAACCAGGGTATCCGGGATCACGTTCCTGTCTGGAAAGAGATGGGGCTGATGGAAGAAACACCCGAGAAGAGAATGGAAGTCCTCAACAGTCTCAAAACAGCAACACCTGAGGCCCGGGAACGGCGCAAGCGAGTCAATGCCGCAATCGAGTGGACGAGTCAAGAATTCCATGGTATCGGTGTGGAGATGAATCACCGCTACGAATCGACAGCCGTGTACCTTGACGATGAGATCAAGGCCGGTACTCCCAAGCCTGAATGGCCCAAAGATGCTGTTCTACATCACAAAGTCAGCACTTACCCCGGCCATCGGCTGCCTCATGCATGGCTGAATCGAACCATACCCGTCAAGGATCACACCTCGACAATTGACTTGGCTGGGAAAGGGCAATTTTGTCTGCTTACCGGTATTGGAGGCGAGAAGTGGGTCGAGGCTGCCGAGAAAGTTGGCAAGGAGCTTGGAGTGCAGATCAATGCCCACACGATCGGATGGGGACAGGAATGGGTCGATGTATATCGGGATTGGTGAGTCTCCCCCCACGCGTGATAAAGCTTCCATGACTGACTTGTATTGTCAACAGGGAGCGCAAGAGAGAGATCGAGGAAGATGGATGTATTCTTGTCAGACCCGATCGGTTCGTTGCATGGCGATCAACAGGCCTTCGAGATGACAGTACCGAGAAGTTGAGCGAAGTAATGAAGAGAGTCCTCGGACGGTCATAGCCATGATCTGTTTGATTCATTCCTGTATTTTCGGGTTCGGTCTTTCAAAGCGTGCTGAGCAGACTTTCGGGGCATGGATTGAGACATTATACATTTCAGACTGTATAATGTGCGTCGCATAACTTGTATAAACTGCCAAATTGAGCAGGTCTCTCTCGAAGAGATCCATCTTGAACGATTCAGCGCTACGAAGCAGTGAAGCACAATAAAGTTGCCTGTAGATCGATGTAGGGAGAGCGAAGCCACAGATCCTCAGGAGTCCTGTAATCATTTCTCGTACCGTTTCTGGTATTGATACTTCTACACGGCCCTCATCCCTCGTCCTTTGCCTTGCAGGGAGGAGTACCCACCAAAATTCACAGACCCACCAGTTCAAAAATCACATTATATGGATCAAAGCGTCCGAAATTGGGTCAGGAATTCGCACAGAGAATATTCCCAACAACAGGGTTCACTGCCCTCCTCTGAGGTCACATCCAGATGTGATCTCGAGGTTAAGAGATCGCAAGATTGGTTCAATGGTAGAATTCATCGTTGCCATCGATGAGACCCGTGTTCGATTCACGGATCTTGCAAGCCTTTTGTTTTTGCTCTATTTCTTGATTCAGGTTGCTTCTTTTTGGAGGTATTGATCGCTAGTGTTCAAGATGGAGGGTATGTAGCTAGTTAGGACGACCGATTAATTCAGAGGGGGAGGGCTCGTAACAGGTAACCCGTCTAGTCTAGACTGCTTTGGTAGGAATCAGTTGGCCAGCTAGGGCGGAATGTCTGCGTGGAACTGGAGGATGATGTGTGCGTGTGTGCATGCAGGAAAAAAAATTCTTTGTTTAGGTGCATCCGCAAATTCCACTTTGGCCGGATCCACCATATGTGGCAGCCAGTGCGATGCGCCGTGTTAGATGCTTCATCAGCTGACAGAGCGGATCCAGATGAGAAGAGGGAGAAACACTCCGTTTGGGCTCAAAAATCTATCAACGCCTCAAAAAAGGTAGAGACACATCGTCACTTTCAACATCGCAAGACAAGCCGCCGAGGTTGATATGCGAACGGCAAAGGTTGGAGAGGGGGAATTTCCGAAATCTAACCTCTTTTTAGAATAGCATGTAATCAGGGGGGTTATACCGAAACCCTCAGACATCTTAAACCTTTACTTTGGTACTCTGCTACTCCTGTGTGTCACACTCGTATGAGATATACTTTGTATACCTGGTAATCCTCCTTCCCACACTAGTTGATCGACCTATAGAAATCCCCCCGATTTGCTTCCTAGAGGTCTACCAGTCCTAGTCACCAAACAGTAACTTTCCCTCTCAGCCTAGGCGAACCTTTCTCCACAACCTCATACACTCGAGCATGTCCGATCCCACCTTTCCCATGACTGCGTTGTTCGAGCTCATGGCGTCTGCTATGACTGCGACAAGGGCAACCGCAAAGCAGAACGCCACTTTGTCCTGGTCTCTCTCCAGCAGGTGGTACTGTTGTTTCTTCATTCCTCCAGCCGTTGCCCAGGCCATCCATTCGTCCAGGATCCCGATGATCCTCATTGCTTCGCCCTGGTCCTCTCCCGTCTGACCTTCCTCGTTCTGCTTTTTACTTGGATCCTGTAAATCCACAATCATCAAATAACAAACGGCCTCGGCCAGGTCGTGCACGGTCCATTCTCTCCCTACCTCCCCCCTCTCCATCAACCAAGTCAGGCATGCTTCACTGACGCGCTTGATGTCCATCCTCGGACTTGCGATCGCATCCACAATTCTCCTTTCCTCCCTCTCCTTCTTCACGGCAAAGGAGTTCATCATGTCATTGTGCCGCTGCTGTCTCTCATTCGCCTCTCTGTTCATCTTGTGAATCCGAGCTTGTTCGGCAGGCATGGTTGCTTCCAGTCTCTCTGCGGCCATACGAGCTTGAAGCCAATGTTGATGTTGCCGTGCCAAAACCAACCCGTCATTGACATTGTCCTTTTGGGACGTCCATTGCGGCGCGTCGCTTTCGGGTAGAAGGCCGAGCAGGACCATCACACCGCATGGAATCGTTTCTTTGCGAACAAAGGTCTTGATCTCCGTCGGAGTCTCGAACGCCCAGAGACCGCCACTGGTGGAGTTTTTGTGTGCGAGTAAAGCTGATGCCGCGCAGGTAAACCATAGCCCGGCGGAGGATTGTTCGTAGTTTCGGAAAGGCGTGCACACAAAGCCCGTTTCGACGTTCTTGCGTTC